GATTCTGGGAGTTGGAGTCCACTCATGCCGGCTGGGGAATTTGGGAGTTGGAAGTCCACACCTGTTGGTTGAGGGATTCTGGGAGTTGGAAATCCACACCTGTTGGGTGGGGGATTCTGGGAATTGGAGTCTCTCTCTCTCTCTCTCTCTCTATTTCTATTTCTATTTCTAGTCCAAGACCTTCCCTGCCCCACCACAGGTTGGTAAGCCTACAAATCCTATAGATTAGGATCCTATCCTCTCCCGATCTCCCCCTGCACTTCCCAGCCAACAACCACCAGCGAAGGCATCGTGCGAAAGGAGCATTTTAGCTGTGCAGAAGGTTAGATGCGAATCATGCCAGCTGGCCGCCTGCGCTCCCAAGGAGGGGATTCCCTCCCAAGTGCCACAGCAGCAGTTTTTTTCCAGAGCAGACATTTCAGCTCCGGGACATGCCTCCGAGGTTTGTTATTTTTCCAAACATCCTTCTTCACGCACTCTGTGTATGCACAGGAGCACTCTTGGCCCACGCTTCTGTAGCCTTATTTTCCCCCCTTGTTCACAGGAGCCCCTCAAGCCACTGTTTTTTACTCTGTGGCAGAAGAGAGTCGGGTCTGGCTTCCAAAGTGGGAAATAGCTCCCCCTTCTCCCCCCACCCCAAGAAAACAGATAGTTAGAATAACAGAGTTGGAAGGGACTTTAAAGGTCTTCTAGTCCAACCCCTACACCCACTTCAGAAGGGACCATCAAATTCCACCACCACCCCTAAATCAACTGCCCCGTGGCAACCTAAGCTAAGAACTGAGCACTCCCCTCAACTGAAATTTAGAGAAATAACCCAATTTGAGCAGAACAGGAGGAAACAGGAAGAGCAAATAAAATAACAGAGGTGGAAGGGACTTTTGAGGTCTTCTAGTCCAACCCGCTGCCTAGGCAGGAAACCCTACACCACTTCAAAGGGTTCTCCAAACTTTTCTTAAAAACTTCCAGTGTTGGAGCATTTACAATTTCTGGAGGCAAGTCGTTCCACTGGTAAATTGTTCTAAAGACGAAGTTTTATTTTCATCTTTACGAGCAGTCTGGGACTTAGAATCGTTCGCTTCCCGCAGCACCGCAAAAGCTGGCTTTATATGACCAGGGTTCACACTTACGACCATTGCAACATCCCCAGATTCAACTGCTTTCTATTTAGGACGTATCTTGGGGTCATGCCATCCCCTTTTGCGACTTTCTGACCGGCGAAGTCAACAGGGGGGGGGAGGTAGATTCACTTAACAACCGGGTGGCTAACTTTATCAACCGCAGCAATCCATTTAATGACGGAGGCAAGGATGGTTGTAAGACAGGATAAAGCTCACATAATTCCCTAAACAATTGCACCGATTTGCTTAACAACGGTGTGGCAAAAGGGTCACAGAACAGGACAACGCTCTCTGTAACCACCGCCTTGCTTCCCAGCGGACATTTTGGGCTGCGTCGTGGTCATAAGTCGAGGACAAGGGCGGCTTGAAGAAACGGGGAGAATTTGCCCAACAGCAGCTTTGATGCATCTCTCTCTCTTTTTTTAAAATGCAAGAGTGTCTGGACGGAAAAGCTTGACTTATAAAATTAGCTGCCTTTTGATCTTTTGTGGAGTCAGCTTTAGGAAAAACTGCTGAGGTTTTCCAGAGCTTTTTTTTTAAAAAAAAAAATAAAAAAAAATAAATAAAAAATAAACCCTAAAAAGCATCCGTTGGTTTTTAATAGGCTGCCAGGAAAAAAAGAAAGCAAGAAAAAAGGAAAAACAATTCCAAAGAGAGATTTTTTAAAAACAAAACAAACCAAAGTTAAACAGACTGCTGCAGCTTGTGGATCCCAAAGGCAAAACTCCAAACCTTCAAGCTTTTAAAACCCCAAAACTTTTGTTCCCAAAACTTTTTCTTCTGTTTTACCTTCTTCCCCGGAAGAAAAGCTTTTGGCCTTTCTTAAAATTTTTACATTGAAATCCCCTCTCTTCCCCCCTTTGATCGAGTTAGGAGGAGGGGGCACAACCAGGGGTGGGTTATGTTGGTCCCCAAAGCCAAAGCCCAGCCAGCCCCCTTCCCCAGGCCTCAAGCCTATCCCGGCCTACCCAAAAGAGGGGGAGATGGGGGGAGGGGGAGAGGAGGAGGAGGAGGAGGGAGCTTGGACAAAGGAGTTGTGCAAATGAAAAGTGTCACTCAGGAAGAAAAGTACAAAGGAGAGAGAGAGAGAGAGAGAGAGGGAGGGAGGGAGGGAGGGAGGGAGAGAGAGAGAGAGAGAGAGAGAGAGAGAGAGAGAGAGAGAGAGAGAAGAGCAAAAAGGAAGGGTGGCATGGAGCTGTCATCTTTACTCAAGGCAAAACAGAAGGATCCTCCTCCTCCTCCTCTCCACAAATCCCAACTTCTTTCTAGCACGGATGGTGTTACCTAGTTGGGTCATGAAAGGTCTGCAAGAAAACCACCAAGTTCAGAGAGGAGCAAGGACCCCCACAATTGTTCTCCTCCCCCTCTTCCTCCTCCTCCTCCTCCCTGCAAACCCCACCCCCTTCTAACACTGATGATCTTACCCAATTGGGTCATGAAAGGTCTGCAAGAAAACCACCAAGTTCAAAGGGCACCAAGGACCCCACAAGTCTTTTTCCTCCTCCTCCTCCTCCTCCTCCTCCTCCCTCCCAAGTGTTTCTTTCTTTCTCTATCTTTTCCCACCCCCACCCCATCCTCCATCCCCCCTCCTCTCCAATCAGCCTGCAAGATTAGGATTAGGGAATTAGATTGGCCAGTTCCCAGCAGGGAAGGCAGAAAAGCCAGCAGCCCAGTCTGGATTTAACCACCACCGATGCGCAGCTGAAGGAGGTGGGAGGTGCTTATAGAGGAAAGCCAGAGGGGGTGATGGGGGGGGGAAGGGCAGAATGGGGAGGGGGGGAGCAAATGGTTAAAGGAGGCAAGGGGAGAAGCAGCTGGCTCATTCCTCCTTGGTGCAGGGTGGGGGGGCACAGCCTCTTTCAAAGCAGAGGCTCTTCCCACCCCTTTGCTACTTTTCTGCCCTGTCTCCAAAGCTCAGGAGTAGCCAGCCAGCTCCTTCCTCCTCCTCCTCTTGGTAGGGCAGATGCGTGGAAAGAGAGGCTTTGCAGGAAGAAGCACAAGGGGGCTGGGAGATGAGGGGGGGGGGGCTGCTGCTCCATCCATTCTCACCCCCCCTACACACACACACACACACACACACACACACACACACACACACACACACACGCCTGTTGTTCCCCGGTCTTTCCAAACCGGATACCCGGTCTCCACCATTTTGAGAAGGGAGACAAAGGATTCCCCTTGGAACCATGTCCCGGTGGCCCCCCCACACCCCCAACTCACACCACAAGGCCATTCCTCCCTCCCCCTGCCCTCCCCCCCAGCCCCAGCCCAGGGAGAACAGGAAGAAAGGCGGGGAGCTGGGAAGGGAAGAGGGGGGGGAGAAACTCCCCTCCTCTCTTCCTCTCTTCCGCAGACTTTGCTGGGGACCCCCCAAACAAAAGCCCACCCTGCTCCAATCCTGCGTGGGAAGCTCCGGGGTCGCTTCTGAGCCCCCCTCCGGAAACACGGGGCCTCAGAGACCATCAGGGGGGCTTCTGGGTTACACCCCCCACCACACCCCAAAGAGGAGCAAGTCAGCCTCGCCCACAAACCCACCCAAAGACTTTTCATCCTCCTTGGGCTCAGACTGTTATTCCCCCCAAAAGGACCCCTTTCCCAAACTCTCTGCACTCCCGCCCCCACGCCCCACACCAGCATCTTGTTCTGGGGGATTCCAGCCAGCCCCACCCTGTGATGGGGGGGGGGGAGAGAAAGGGGTCCATCACACCAACAGCCAGGACCCTCCCTCCAATACAAGATTGGCCTCCAGCAGGAGGAAGCAGCCCAGCCCTGAGGTTCCTGCAGCCCCCCTCCCCCACTGGAAGATTGGGGAGGGTGGGGTGGGGGGGAACAAAGACCCCAAGAAACGCCACTCCTCTCCTCCACCCTGTGCAACCCAAGAGACCCCCCCATTCTTCATCCAGGCTAGCCAGGAGCCCCCTCCCCAGCCGACCCCCCCCTTTTGCTTTGATGAAGAAGACGTTCTCCCCTCCTCTCCTACCAGGGCGGCCAAGAGACCCCCTCCCCAGCCGGCCCCCCTCTGCTTTGATGGATGGAGATGCCCCCGCCCTCCTCTCCTCTGGGCCAGAAGCCCCCCTCCCTAGCCGGGCCCTCCCCTCCTACCTTGGAGGGTAGAGACCTTCCCCCTCCCTCCTCTCCCCTCGCCAGGAGCCCCCCCCCCCGCCCCCCCCCCCCCCGCGTCCCCTGCCTACCTTGGCGGGTGGAGACGTTGCGGTCGTTGGCGGCGCGCAGCACCACCTGCGGGCAGCTCTGCTCCAGGAGGAAGAGCTCGTCCTTGCCCACCTTGCTGGCCTTGCCGGCCTTGAGGGTGCCGCTGGGCCCCGAGGGCGCCAGGTAGCGGCCCTGCCCGTCGCGGAAGGCCACCTTGCCGGCGCGGAACTCCAGCGTGAACTCGGCGGCGGGCTCGGCGCGCTCCACCAGCTGCCCGTCGTGGCGCAGGAGGCGGTGGTCGCGGGTCTGGAGCCGGTAGCGGCCCTCGTGGAAGAGGAGCGTGATGAGGGCGTCCACGCCCCAGGGCACGTCGCGGGCCACGGCCAGCTCCTCGCCGCCGGCGCCCAGCTGGGCGTAGCGCTTGCGGCTCAGGCTGAAGAGGTGGAGCTGCGGGTGGAGCGCCAGGTGGACGCGCCACTTCTCGGCGCCCGAGACGGCCTGCGCGAAGCAGGAGAGCCGGTCCTCGGTGCCGCCGAAGAAGCGGCGGTGCGGCTCGGACTGCAGCGACCAGCGCCCGTCGTCGTGGGCCAGGATGAGGAAGCGGCAGTCGGCCGAGGGCGCCTCGCTCTCGCAGCTCACCTGCCCGTCCTTGTCGGCCGCCAGGTAGCGGCCCAGGTGGCTGCGCAGGAAGACCACGCTGGAGTCGTCGCCGTTCTGCTCCAGCGTCCAGATCTGCTTCTTCTTCAGGCTGGGCGCCGAGGCGTTGAGCTTGAAGCCGAAGGCCTCGGCCGTCAGGTACCGGTTGCCGCAGTTGATCAGGCCGAACTGGATGGGCAGCGAGTCCGACGACGGCGAGGAGGGGGTCCCGTTGGCCGTCATGGCTGGGCGGAGGAGGAGGAGGTGGGCGGCTGGCTGGCTGGGCTCGCTTTTTTCTCTCCTCTCCCTCCTCTCTTTCTTCCCTTCTGTCCTCCTCCCTCCTCTCTTTCCTTCTCCTCCCTTTCTTCTCTCTTCCTTGCCTTCCTTCTCGCCTTCTCTCCCCGACGGCTCCTTTGTTCGGCTGCTGCTGCTGCTGCGGAGGAGGAGGAGGAGGAGGAGGAGGAAGGACCGCGCTGCCGGGCTCGACGGACGGACTGGGCTGGGCTGGCTCAGCTCCCCGCGCTCCGCAAAGCCGGGCTGCAGCGAGCGAGAGAGGTGGGTGATGTCAGGAGGAGCCGGCTTTAAGGCGGGGAGGGGGCGCGGCTGCCCCGCCGCTGCCAATGGAGGCTCGAAGGGGCGGAGCTCGGCCGGGGGAGGGGGCGCCCTGCAGCCGCCTCCCCCCCCCCCCAGACCCGCAAGGGGGGAAGTGGGGAGGGGGAAAAGGAGGAGCCAGGTAGGGGCGGGAAGAGCCGGGCTGGGAAGGGGGGAGGGGGGCTCCGCAAGGGCGGGGCTGGTGGAACGCCCTTGCTCAAGGGAGAGGAGGGGGCTCCGGTGCGGGTTTTGGGGAGGTGGGGTACAACGACCAGCATCCCCAGCCGCTGGGCAATCTGAGGCTGGGATTTCGGGGCGCTGCCCGCGAATGGGGGGGAGGGGTCGGAATGGAGGGGGGTGGTTCTGGAGGTCCCGAACCCTGCGGTCCAGCCCTGTTTCCGGGGGGGACCCTCCCCAAATCAGGGGTGTCCCTTGTCCTGCCCCTCCCCTCTGCCTTGGGGAAATCCCTTGGCTGCGGCAAAACGTTGCCCTGCCAACGGTCAAACCTCCTCCGTCCTCCCCAAATTCTGGGACTGGGGTTTGGATCCCGGGCCAGCCCCAATGGGGTCTCTGTTGGCACCCCCTCCCTCATCCCACCTGCCCACTCCCTTTCCAAGGCTGCTTGGCTTGGCCTGCAAAAGAGGTAAGAAGGGTGGGATCCCATCTGATTGGCGCTGGGGAACAGAACACCACCCAGAGATCTTTGGGCTGGGTGCTAAACAATAAAATAAGATAAACCCACTTCCCTCCTGCCCTTGATTCTGTAGCCACCAGATTTCGCCTTTCCAGGTGTAGCCAAGGAAACTGTCTCTTGGCTTAGATCAGAGGTCTCCAAACTTGGCCACTTGAAGATTTGTGGACTTCAACTCCCAGAATTCCCCAGCCAGCTAATTCTGGGAGTTGAAGTCCACAAGTCTTCAAGTGGCCAAGTTTGGAGACCCCCTGGCTTAAAGGCTGAAGTTTAAGTGCTGGGTTGGGTGCCTTTCCACTGGAGAGAACTTCTCCCGATTCCCCCAGGTGGGCTCTGCACCTCTGGATCTCAGCAAAAGTCTATCTTGAAGGATAGATCGGAACCCCTCATTAAACCAGACAAGTTCACCAGTCACGCTAACACATCCTGGGCAGGTTTATGCATCGTGTCAAGCCAGCAATCCAAGCCTGCTAAGTAATCCCAAGCACGAAGCATTAAATTTGGGGTGCCAAGTTTCTTTTGGATCTTAGCTCCTCCTGTGCATTTAATGGCTTTGCTTATTAGGAATAAGAGTTAGCTCTAGATTTAGAATGGTTTTGTCTCCTAAAAGCTAGAGAAGGAAACTGGGTGTTTGTTTTTGTTGTGTGACAATTATTAGCATTAATGATGGCTACGTTCACTTAATTATTCTAGGCCAGTAGTTTTGGCAACTTTAAGATGGGTGGACTTCAATTCCCAGTATCCCACAGCCGGCTGGCTAGGGAATTCTGGGAGTTGAAGTCCACACCCGTCATAAAACTGAAAACAAACAAACAAACCCATTTGGCTAGTTTCTGGTTTTGTGCATTGTAAGGCTTCAACCAATTTGATCGATTCCATGGTGGTTCCAGCAACTATGGCTTAGCGTGTTGTTTGAATACATCCATTTCTCGTTCCTCATCCAAGTTTATCCCCCCCCTAGTTTCTGTTCCTAACTCCATTACATTCCTGGCAATCTGCCTAACTTTACTAGTTCTATTGCTCTAAGCTTTGAAGTACTTATTGGGGGTGGGTGGGGAGAGAGAAATTAGGAAAGGATGTTTCTGTGAATGGAGTTGGGTGGGGAAACATACTTTGGAATGACTACATTGCTTTGGCAGAACTATTTCCAACAGGCCACCAATTTCTCTCCTTAAATTGCCAGCTGTCTGAAAGAAGGATGCTAATTTATCTCAGCAAACTTTGATCTGGAAACCAGACGGTTATCCTTGTTGCCTGGATGAGGGCCAGGTGGCTTTCAAACCGCCCTGCAGAAACCCAACGTGGATGAAAAACCGCGCAACGTGGATGAAAAACTGGCAAGGTTCCGCTCTAAACCTTAAGTATCCTCCTGTGACAGAGAAATCCGATTTGCTCCC